ATGACCAAACTGCGGAGCGCGTCAAAACAAAGACGGTGTGAGTTTTTATATATGTGTATATTTGGAATATGTTTGGTATGGTATTATGGTATGGGCCGGTCTGGGTGGTATGGTGTCGCGGTATGTGCAAAACAATATATATATATATATCAGATAGAAGCAACTTCCAAGACAGTTTTAGAGGGGACTTGCTTTTTTTGGGGGGGGAGTGGGGGGGAGTGGCTATACTGTATTGGAAGATTTGTCCCACATTACATTGGCGAAGTTCATAAGTTGATTGAGGCATCAACTTAACAATTCAAGAGGTCCAAGACACGTGTTTACTGACAACAGATTGTATAGAGCCTGGCAGCCCCACTTCTATTTTCATGGCGCTTGCTTTTGGCGCTCAAGCAGGGGCACGGCTATTCTATCCTCGACTTCTTGGTGGAGGACAACCTTTGCCTCCTCCAGTTGCGCAACATTTGGGGGAAGCGGACGTGGCAAGGCAGGGTATACGCGGCAGGGCATGGCATGGAGTCGTGCCTGGAGCGTCTAGCGGCTAGCTAGCTGTTACCTTCGGGGAGGTAGTTGTGTGTCGGCACAGCTGTAGACTCTCTTTCGTAAGATAATGGCCGGAGTGACATGTAGCAGTGACTGAAGTCATTTTTGGCTGGGCTGTGCAGAGTCGGAACCGGTATCGTCCTCGATTGTCACTGGATAATAGTCTATATTGCTGAAAATGGGCGTCACCAATCACACTGCCACTAGCCAGAATTCGGATGCTGCTGCATTGGTGGCTCGCCCGGTGAAATATGCCCATCACTTGTAAGAGCCTCCGGTGGTTTGCTGTATCTGTTATTCTCAGCCTGACACTTTTGCAAAGTGGCAGGTGCATGGTCCGATGACTCCAAGGACCCCATGTGCCGGATGAGTCGGTCTAAAGGGTTAACAGGACGGTTGAGTACAGTATATGCAGTAGTATATACCTGATAAAGAGATATAAAGAGCACAACCCCCTTGTAGGGGAAAACTGCATTATGACCTCACCCCGTTGTGACAACGGGTTGGAGAACTGGCAAATTACCGAGCCGGGACAGTGGTCCAATAAAGCAAGATCTGATTCTGATGATAGGTTGAGAGGAGCCCACAAAGATGTTGACAGATTGAAGGGTTTTGCTTGGGGCGCACATCCATTGGAGAGAGTTGATGACTCTGTGATGAATGACAACTCGGATGCCAGGAGTGGCAAACCCGCCCTGAAGTGCGCCGCCATGTGTACCGACGTGAGCACAAGAGTGCAGGCTGAGCGATTGTGCTCTGTGTGCAGACGGTGTAGGGCCAGGGATGGGAACCTTTGGGGGCACTGTACTTGTGCAGTGGAAACTGGTAGAGCATCATGACTTGAGCAATCTTGCTGAAGGACCTTTTAACCCTTGTTATTGTCCCAGGTCCTTTGCCTCAACGGCCTTCCCTGCAGATATGTGCATGGTTGCGACCCATGCAGGTCCATGCATCAGACGCAGTTTTGCCCCTTGGGAGGACACATCAGTCGTGAACATTGACCAATCGAAACAGAGGATGTTGTGATCGTGCATCATTCAGACAGGAATAGACATCCATCGTTTGGACATGTTTGCACAAACAAGGCTGACTTAGCTCGTTGGCTCCTCAACCCCGGCATGCCCAAGCAATCGGCAATCCACACTTGCACAATCAGAATATTCCTTGGATCCGGCCATGGGTGCCCGAAGCTGGCTTGGGGCTTCTGCATGCTTTTGTGCCTGGATTTTGGCGCACAGGCAGGGGTACTGAGTATCATCAAAATGCAGCTTATGATTGCCGATGATGGTCGATGCAGCGGAAAAAAAGAAGCGATGCAGGTTCAGCTCCGGCTGGGCACTGCCCAGCTTCTTGGCGATTTCACTGGGCTGCCTCTACCTGTGGTTCATCGTTCTGCGCGTCCCAAAACTGGGTGAGGAACTGGCAGAGGTGCAGACATCCGCGCGGACCAGTCTCGCCGGGTGAGGAAATGGGCGAGTGAAGGCAGCCACATAGGACTGGCAGCCACAGTGGCTGAAGCTGCAAGGGCGCTCCTTAATGGTCCTAAAGTCCTAAAGCTTCCTGAATGCTGTCAAAGCTGGGTTGTTTGCCTGAGGGCGTGGTCGAGAATTGTGATGTGCCAGGCTTGGCCGGATGAAGCAGAGCTGAAATCTCAGGATGATGTTGTAGAAGCCGCCCCTGAAGACAAGGCAACAGGAATGGACAGGGCTCGGCGGAACTTCACCTGCAGAGCGATGGGGCAAGGATTAATAAGAATGGCTGGAATTAATTATCCTTTCATGATCTTTCATGTTTGCTGTAGTTGGGTTCTGGGCATTGGGCTACTCCTCCAGCCAAAGGACCTGGTACGGTTTGGAAGCTTGCCAGCTTGGGACGTCCAGCGCCACAGGTACCACGGGTGCCACCCGGTGCCACGAAGGCCCCGGGCGCCGCGGGGGTCGTGGGCGCAGCGAGCGCGGAGATCGCGGCGGTGCCCATGAGCTCGGCGGAGATCGCTGAGAGCTATGCAGCGACCGAGGTGGAGAACCCGGTGAGAGTGGGGTGTGGTGCCGACCTCCCTCGATACCGACCTACTGAGAAAGCCATGGAGGGGGAAGATGGCAACACGATACATGATACATGTGCAAAGGCAGTGGGAAATGATGGGGAAATGGGGTGCTCGAAGTTGAGCCACATCACTCTTTAAAGAAAGATAAGAAAGCACAGATGGTAGGGGACGCGGTTCTTTTGTTCTCTCAGCCAGATGCTAGCACGAACGAACAACAGACAAAGAACGATACACATGTCGTGAGTCGTGATCCAGAAAGACCTAACCCCAAGTTGGGTCTGAGTCTCTTTGTGAAAGCGACGGAGCGGATAGTAACCGAAGCCTTTCAACTCAAGCAACTTTTAACTGAGCTTTTGACGATATCCGTTTCATGGCTTTCGAAAAGTGGAGATCAGCGTCAGAAGCTTTGTCTTGCGACCCACTGCCAATCCTTGACCGCAGGATGCTGAACCACTCCCGGCTGACGGGCCACACACAGATGAGGAGCTTCAGCTCTACGTATGCACGCGCACGGCTGTGTCTGTGTGGTGAGAGAAGCGCCAAAACAAATGGCCCCTGGAAAGGCCATTTATATATCATTTATCCTTTTCAAACAGGGGTTTGTCCACTTCCATGTTTGTCGCGGGGAGGGTGAGCCTAGGGCCAGATGATGCAGTCACGAACATGGCACATGCAGATTGGACAAATGCCAGTGCCAGCAGAGATTACGACGTGTTTTAGCGGCAACGATGTTCTCATCAGCCATGTAGTGACCTTCACACCTGTTCCTTGGAAAAGGAAGGGGCATTTCAAGCTGTAGGCCTCCCTTTCTCACCATATCCCCATGTTGCAGGGGGCTCGCAAGTCCCAGTGTCCCTCGGCAGGAAGCTGCAGCGGCAGCACAGGACCCAGATCCTCTTCCGGCGGAGCCTGTGCAAGATCTTCCGGCTGCTGATCCTTCTGAGGAAAATCCAGAGCAAGATGAGGACGATATGGTAGATGTGGCCAAGGCCCAAGAGCCACTTTGCAGAATTGGGCGGAACAATGCCAAAACAGTCCAAGTGGAAGGATACCGGATACCGCAACAAATCCTAGCTTATTTGACCAAGACAAAGAATATTACAGTATTAAATATCTATACTACGGTACGTGAGTTTGTGGTACTCGTATTGCCTGGAGCCCGGCCTACTCCGGTCAGTCAGGGAGTGCTGTGAAACTACAGAGGTCCATACCGAGCTGGTCGCTTGAACGCTGATCGGTGGTCGCTTGAGGCTAAGACTCGAGGGGAACGAGCACTTCAAGGCGCACTTCGCGCACTTCAGGTTTAAAAACTATTTGCAGATTTTGCGCTCAACGTATCATCAATCATCATGATATTTGTCCCCCTATTGCAAAGAAAACACGTGGCGATGAACTTATGTATATAGTCACTTCCATCTACTTGAATGGTTGATTCATTGCTTCTTTACATGTGTTGATATTTATTTGCATGGATCCTAGTTAACAAAAGATACAACAACGGGTAGGCAAACCTTTTAGGTCCCTTGCCCCCTTTACCCTTGCCACAACCGAAATCGGTCCCATCCCAGGCTGGGCGACTCCACGATGCTCGAGAGGCCTACTCTGAAGCCCTGCACTTGAGCCCTGCTGCTGGAGATCCGGGCTCGGACAGCAGCAAGGCCCGCGGAGCGCCGCCCCGCGACTGATGGGGCCTTGTGAAGGATGTGAAGGCTTCGGTTGGAGCATGGAACTTGCAAGAATCCCAGGGAGAAAGTGGACCAATATTGGGTGGGGGACTTGTATGACTTGGTCTTGGCTCTAAAAATCCCAAAAGCCTTGGGTTTCGAGTGGGGGACGGCCCCAGTGATTTGGAGTGTCCTTGCTCCACAGATGTGTCTTTGCAGGAGCGAGCCGTGCTCCACTGCAACCGGGCCGCGTGTCTTCAGCGCCTGGAACGCTGGGAGGATGTGGTGAAGGAGGGGCCCCGGTCCATGGAAGGGAAAAACGAAGACGGTTTCGCACCACATCTACAACGCTTTGCTTCCAGCAGTGGTGCGTCGCCCGCGGGGAGATGTTACTTGTGGACAGAGTCTTCATGATACCGTCGGGATACTGTGTATATAATGGTCTCTAGGATTTTTCCTTGGCGCGTCTGAAGTAGCATTCTTTCATGCCAAGAGGCTGATAAAGTTGGATGCTTAAATATGTAGGTCTTTGGACAACCAAGGTGTGAAACATTGACACGTGCCCATAAGGCAAATTGACCCTCTTGAGGCCTGAAAGATGGCCTGCGTTCGAGTCCTGACATTTGTTCTTGGCAGTGGATAATGTCTAAGTCTATGTGGATCTTGATCCCTCAGGACTGCTCCCACGCGATTCAGCTGGATCCTTCGTCCCTTGGCAGACCGCTAGGTCCGCTAGGTCCGCTAGCTGGTCAGTCAGCCAATCACTTGGTGACGCTCCTCCGCCATATGCCTTGTAGATTGGTTCCTTACAGAATGATACGAGATAGTCAGTGAGATAGTCTCAGCATACCATACTCCTCATGTTTGAAGTTCCAGATTCCAAGAAAGCTATATTTGATAAACAAATTGTACATACACAACCGCACACACACATATGTATATTGTATACATGAGCAGCCACTTTATTTAGGCTTTACTAAAGTAGTCTGCAGCATGCTTTATTTGCGTGTCTATTATCAGTATTCGCTTGTGAACTAGACGACGAGTGGCCCGAAAGCATTTTTCATCACGTAGGAAATCAGAGTGCGAGTTATCCGGTAAGTGTGTAGTGAGAAGTGTTAAGTCGAGTGAGTTGAGGTAGTGTGTGGGTTTCTGTGCGTGTGTCCATGTCCGTGTGGAAAGGAGTCTGCGTATGTGTGCGTTCGTGGAAGTTGAGGGAGTGTGTGGGTGTTTGTGTGCGATGCGGCCTCCCAAACCCCCCACCGGCGGCCAAGCGGTGACAGCCCAGCTC